GGAAAATTCTACTACCAGTCCTTCATCACCTTACACGAAATAGGGTGAATACATCTCATTACACTGAGTTGTTTCTGCCTACTGGAAAGAAATAGGGAGAGAGAGAGAGACGGCAAACAAGATGAGCCACTTGAATCTGAGTTTGGGCTCAAAATTACCAAATATCCCATGATTATTGCATACACAAAAGCACACGTATCTATAAAGCCAAAACAATCGTTAGTTTACAGGAACATGCGCTGTCTTAGTTACATAAAGAAAAGCTGTGACCACATACGTTCCCGTTTCTGTATCAACCTCACTCGCTTCCATGCATGTAGGACAAACATAAAGCTGCCAACCAAATCATGGAGTGCCTCATTAGAATCGCAAAGTGGAATATAAGAAGTAAGTAGAATTTCATCTAGCCACCTTTATTAGTTTGGTGATTTGTGTGATTGTTCATAAATAAAAGTTTCTGACTCTGACGATATACGTCACATGACGGAGGTATCGCAAGGAGGTAAGTCGAGGTCTTTTTCGCATATACCCCAGTCACAAGTCCAAGACAACCTTCTTTCGGTATCCGATGGGGCAAATTTACGAATATTTTCCACCCGCTTATTAAAGCGATTGAAGGATGTGCTCATATCAACAGTCTAAAACCGGATATTATCATGACAATTATTGATGAAAACGTAGGACTGGCTGCATTCCACTTGGTCTCCAATTCACCCGACCAAGATGCATGTATGAGATCGTACCAAAAAAACTTTAGACCACACATTCTTGGTCTTCATTTATATGATCTAAATATGCAATGTTGCTTAACTCGGTTACTCATATACAACTGTTGTAGCTGAAGCAGCGGGTTAAATTGATTGTTTTATCCAATCTTGTGGGAAATGCGCAAGGCCTAAGTGTGAAGAGAAATTAGCTGGACAGATTTTTTTATAATTTTTAACAATATTCTTTTTATCGAACATTTATCTGCTTTGAAGATATGTTTGCATAGTTATAATGTACTGATTTGAATGAGTGTCATCATAGACTGGGTAATATAAACAACTTCTGACTTACCGGGCTCCAATTGTTGACTTTTGGAGACGGTGCATTCTTCGGCACCCCAGTCGAACTTCAAATCAACTTCAGTATTTCCACCTTGGACCATTTGGACACTGTACGGCTCTACATGAGGTTCCGCTACCGCCTCTATTGGGCCTCGCCGAACCGGACCACCTCCAGTTCCAAAGCTGCTGAAAGCTCTTTCTTCTTGGCCTCTTGATTTGGTGACTACAGTTGGAATTCCTGTTTCAACCTCATGACAGATAAAAGTCGTGCCCTCTGAGCCAAGCTTGTTTTTCATAGCAGTAGTAACTAGTTTGGATGATTTACAACTCACAACAAGCCGCAGGGAGTGCAGAAATAAAACCTCAATATGCTATTTTGTCGAGCTGAGGACTATCCATAAAAGGTTAACTAAAAAGACGGATAGTCAAAAAAAGAGGGATTCTGCAGATATGAATCGAATGGAATAAACTAGACTTAAATGGGCCTGGGCGGGTTTATCTCTAATCTTAGAATAATGAAAATCAACATGAAAGTAGGAAAATATGGGTTGTAATTATGGTATACAGACTTGTTATGTCTCTCTATATCTGAATAAACAGTAGTTAAGGGTTTTAGTTGCATTTGTCTATGCCTACAAGAGATGAAGTTAGGAATTTAGGAAGGCATAGATTTTGAACTGGGATATAATTGGAGATAAATTCGTATTTGCTCAATGCAAAGCATTCAGAAATAGTCTATTTTAGCAAAGAAAACAGACGATGAAGAATGATACAAAAACGTCGGGAAGTGCCAAAACAATGTGCCCGGTCCAGACGATAGGAGACGGGCGGATCTGCTCATTCGAGTACGATGTGGGACTGGCTGCACCTATTCAACCCCGGAAGGCAATTCCATTAAGACGTCCTGAACAGAAACAATGG